GTGCTCCATAAATATGTCATTTTTCAATTTGGTGTCACCCCCTCTGATGGTGTCACCCGGTGCGGTCCGCACCCCCTAGCTGCGCCACTGTTTTGGGGTGACACAGGAATTTCCTTTTCATTAAGAACTCCGGCATGTTCTTCCTGAAAGAGGCTAACTCCAACGCCAATGTTGTAATGTGCATGAGAATGAGTTCCAAGTTTCGAAGACCCTTCGACGCCATGATCTCGTCTCAAAACATAAAATAGACATGTTAACCTGTTACTTTAATTGATTTGATATTTACATTGACAAAAAAAGGGGATGTATGTAAGTTGCAGACTACATCAGTGATTCTCACTGTGTTGCTTGTTTAGTTAAACTTTTTAATTCATAACATGTTTCACGACGTAGAGGCAAACACCCTTTGGGGGGGGGGGGGGGGAGGGGTTAGGGGGCGGAAATTTGAATATTATTTGAGAATATTTAGTGTCTGCAGGAGGTCGGGGAACAACCTTAGACAGGACATGGATTACATTAAACCTTTTGAGGTGCTACGGTAGGGCTTTCGGAAAACAAAGTTAGAAACATTGTATATACGATCTGTTATAAGATTGTTTCATTATTGTTGTTTATATGTTATCCTTACATTCACGATTATAATCTAGCAATATACAGTACATAATTAAAATGAAATTCTTGTGCTGTTTAATAAAATGACTTAAAATTAGCTTTAGCAAGATGTGTAAAATTTCTAAGTTTAAACAAAAGACACCTCACAAAAAGCACTTCTGTCCTATCTAAGACATCTTAATTTACTCCATAGGAATTACAACTTTCCAAATCTCTGGATATTGTGTCAACTTCTTGGTATCACCATAACATTAAACGAAAACTGATTAATCCCATCTGCCTACTAGAAACCCACTGACCGTCACAGTTACTAACTTTACTCATCCTCCCACCCCAAATCATGCAAAGACTCTCACACAACTTCTCAGACTACTTCTACTTTTTGTTAATGTGCTATTTTCATGTTTTCATTTGTCTTGTTCGCTGAAAAAGGCTCTAAGCCAAAACGTTCACATCTTATTGTCCTCTATTTTGATTCAAGCTTCAACATACCTTGTTCTACTACTTTATTCCAGGCTGGGTAACGCTCAATCCTTTGCATTTGATATCCTCCTCCAAAGAACTACTGTCAAAGAAGTGAAGACTCGATGAGACCGAAGAACATTGATGATATTGTCACTTGCAGACTCGACTGAGTTTTCCGTGGACTTATGCCAATGCAGGTGTGTCTCATATAACGTCAATGTAAAAAAACACTTACGCCCGTAGCCAGTGTAGTAGTGTTTTATAAAATATCAATGTAAATAACACAATAATGACCAACGACTTGTTTATGACAAAGCAGGGAGATCCACCAAAGTTATTCACGGAATAACCCCTGAAGGTTTAAACTAAACTGCATCCCATCCGTAGACTCAGATTGGTCACCCTTTAGGAAAGCGTACTTTCCCCCAACTCTATGTGCCAGCGGCTGGGGCGACACGGCAGCCAAGGAGCACCCACTGTAAAACTAAAGCAGAATTATGAAATCACCAAAACATTGCTTATTACTTTCGTGTGGAAATGATGAAATAATTCTTTACTATGAATTCTCTTTTAAGTTTCCTGTTAATCTCATACCCTAATTCTTTGATTATATGTGTAGCTTCCGTTAAAGAGACCTAACATATTGTTATGTATAACGTTTTACACGATTTCCCCGAGTTTGAATTTTGCTTGACCCAAACTAGATCCCTAGCAGACGTTAGCGGTTGTTGTGGGCGTGGTCTATTCGTTTGATGTATCTTGTTGACTACCGCCTTTCCAATTAAACCTTGTTAGACTGTCCCCTATTATTTGGTAGAATGTTTGCGATTGTTCTAGAAATGTAAACAAATGCTGAGTAGCTTCTGGAAGGCAGGGCTTACGCGTCGGTAGACCCACCTATATAAGGGATTGACAGATCCGGAGAGAAGAAGATTCAGACGGAGATTCAGATAGATATTATTAACTTTACGAGGCGTGATTATTCTTTGTGTATTTGTGTGCTTATATGTGTTTATTTCGCATTTCATCATTTTTCATTGGCACATTATTCTAACTGTGTTAACTGTGTACCGTTACAAGATCTACCATACTGTAAGTTGAAGATTGTCATTATAGTTTTTTTTTCTTTTGTAATTACATTAATAATTATAAAATCTGATTAATTTGTAACTAGAAACTGTTTTGGGTGTCGTATCTTTAATATTGTTTACTCTATGGTATCGTCCTTTGTTAGGCACTGTTTACAACGAGCCAATTAAAATCAAAATAGGAGATTAATTTCTCATATTAGAAGCCAGTGCGTAATACATATCCTGTCATATAAATATCTATATCAGCTAAATGTGTCCTTCTGTGTATTTTTGCCGGAGATGCCTTATTAGCCTAAACGTTGTGCACTTTCTTTGCATAATCATTTCTGGGTTTTTTTTCTCTACAGTGTGTGTATTCTTTATTGCTCCAACCGGAAGGTAGTCCTACAGTATTTCTTTTTTAATAACCACGTCTCGGACTTTGGTTATTTTAGGCAACTTAAAAGCTGATTTTTAAAGAAAACGTGCACGCCTAGGGTATTAGAGGAATCATCTTAGAAACTTTCAACTTCAAATGACTTGTTGTAATAAGAGAAATCACCTTTACAAAACTTCAAACTCATAGGATTTTTTGTTCTTAGAGGAATCACCTTACAAAACATCAACTTCGTAGGATTTTTGTACTAAGAGGAATAACCTTAGGAAACATCAACTTCGTAGGATTTTTTGTTCTTAGAGGAATCACCTTACAAAACATCAACTTCAGAGAATGTTTTGTTCTTAGAGGAATCACCTTTCAAAACACACCAACTTCGTAGTCTTTTTGTACTAAGAGGAATCACCTTAGGAAACATCAACTTCGTAGGATTTTTGTACTGAAAGGAATCACCTCACCAAATTTTAAACTTCACAGGACTTGTTGTTCTTGAGATTTCTTGATACCTGACTTTATTTATACACACATATTATATATATATATATATATATATTCAATGAGTCAATAAAATGAACCTGCTTGATGACCTCTCAAAAGTAGCATCGAAAAGTAAACGAAACGTAAACAAGTTATTAAAGCTAGCAATTACAACAGCCAAAAAGACATGTTACTTGGAACTGACCTTATCTGAAGAATTTATAGGCCTATATTACCCTCCCCCCCCCCCCCACGGGCTGTCCCAAAACAAAACAAAATAAAAAGCTACTACGAACATTCGACTTTGTTTCATTGACATAACCCGATTGAACTTTTACATTTGTAACTCAGCATGCATTGTTGTGTCCGTTATTGACATGTTTTAAACCTCCGTCAATAGCATTAACTCCGTCAAATATTCAGTCAGAATTATCCCCCCCCCCCCAACCTCTTCAGCTCCGCATCTAAAACGAAGGAACTGTTTGATCACTTACAACATGCTGGTTATGTTGTCCGCTGTGTTGGTTCAAAGTATTGATTCAAACCGCCTTGATTTTCTTTCGTTATTGACATGTTTTAAACCTCCCTCAATAGCATTAACCCCGTCAAATATTCAGTCAGAATTATCCCCCCCCCCCCAACCTCTTCAGCTCCGCATCTAAAACGAAGGAACTGTTTGATCACTTACAACATGCTGGTTATGTTGTACGCTGTGTTGGTTCAAAGTATTGATTCAAACCGCCTTGATTTTCTTTCATGGGCGTCCGCAGGGGGAGGGGTCAGGGGGGCACTTGCCCCCTTCCCCCGGATTGATTGGATAAAAAGATTTTAGACAAAAATAGACAAAAAATTTATTAAAGTAAAGAGAAAATAAAGAGAAAGTAACTAAGAGATGTCATGTCCGGTCGTTCACCATACAAATACGCTACAGTAAATTAAAACTACATAAAAACATTTCTAAAACTTTCCCTGGAAAGTTAATCGATTTTTTTGACCCCCCCCCCCTAGAAAGTTTTCTGCGGGCGCCCATGTTTTCTTTGTAATGCATTTTTTTAAAGTTCTCCTTAAATTGAATTGAAGTTATTGGTTGCTATTAGTAGCCATGAGTGCTGAAGTTAGTGTGCAAATGTCTCAAATGGACAATTATGCAATAGATTTCTAATTCTGTTTAAATTGTCATCACGCTTGTACTGATCAATGCGTATTTAAATAAACTACATGTATATTAAAAAGAAATATTCCATTAGACCTTAAATTCGTACAATTTTAGAATCATCTAATTGTTCTGTATTCAAAGGCTCGCGATTTGGCTTTGCGTATTTGCCTAAGGCATGCACTGCAGCGTAAGAAAATAGTCTAATTATGTGACAAACATGTTGCCAGTATTGGGATATCACATTTGAGTATTTGCCAAGGGCATACATTGCTGTGTAAGAAAACAAGTATGCGACAAACGGGTTATAAGTATGGGGGATATCACTTTTTTTTCCTAAGATTTAAAAAAATTAATAATAAAGGACTGCGAATTTGTTGTGTTCAATGTCCGTCACAGAGATCCTTTGGGCAGAGATCCCTTGGGCAGAGATCCGTTGACCATTATTCGCGTCGCCCCTGTGCATGTCTTGACGTCACTGAATGCGACAGTCCGGGTTAAACAAGGGCACCTTACATCTCATTGCACTGAATGCGACAGTCCGGGTTAAACAAGGGCACCTTACATTTCATTGCACTGAATGCGACAGTCCGGGTTAAACAAGGGCACCTTACATCTCATTGCACTGAATGCGACAGTCCGGGTTAAACAAGGGCACCTTACATTTCATTGGTGGATCCGATGCTACTCTACTTTTTTTTTAAATTTGGTATCTTTAAAATCTACAATGTTGACCGTGACCAACACGACCGTCCAACTCTTCGACACTTGGTCAGCGGTCCTCCCGGGTGAAACCTTCTATCTGGTCTTCAGCTCAGTCGCTTTTGTACTTTTCACCGTTGGTTTTGTCGGTAATGTTTTGAACTTCCTAGTTTTCCAGAGACTTGGATTTCACGATACCGTCAACATCAGCATGACGGCCTTGACCTTGGCCGATTTAGGATCACTGGTCCTGGTGCTGTGGAAAAATATTTGCTATTTCCCACCATTTTTCAAGTCAGATCTGCCGTTTGTTCCATGGGATATTGAAAGCGTTATGGGGGGTTGGCCGAGAATATGTCTCATAAGGATAGCCGCCATGATCACCGCCTACGTCACGCTAGAGCGGTGCCTCTGTATTACGCTGCCATTGAAGGTCAAGGCTGTTCTGACGCCAAAGCGAGTCACGTGCATTCTTCTCAGCATCGTTCTCATCATGGTCATCAGCGTTGCACCATTACTTCTTGAGACTCGGTTTGTGTTCAAGTTCTATTCGTTCTCAAACAAGACACTACTTGCTGTTAGTTACACGGACAAATGGGAACAGACAGAGAATACGATGCTGGCATTCAGCACGCTCTACAACCTAATCTCGTTCATCTCTATCGCAATTTTCACGGCCATTCTCGTTCGTCAGCTGAACATAAACACAAAATGGCCCCAGGCGCCCGCCTGTGTTGGCAAACTACAGACCAAAAGTTCTAAAAAGGAAAGAAAAGCCTCTAAAATGGTAACCTTGATTTCAACGTTATTTATCGTTTGCTTTTTCCCTGGCACGGTCTCACTCGTGTGCTCGATGACCAGTGCAGAATTCCGACCAGGTGGGACTTACTTTTACGTCACAACAGATACAATATTGGCAAGTCAAATTTTAGAAACCATCAATGCTAGCTCCAACATGTTCATCTACGTCAGAATGAGCTCAAAATTTAGGAAAGAGTTCATCCGATTGCTTTGTGGTCGCCAGAAGACCAAACAACCGGTTTTCACCGACTTCTCGCCCCAAAGAAATGAAACATTTTAAATTTTTATTATTTAAACACAATTACGAGCTAATGTTGGAGATGTATTAAAAAATGTTTGTAAACTGTTGTTTTTAAATTAATACAAAGCTGTTGGATCAGTTTTCAGCTATTTCGATTCCATTGAGAATTTACGTTTTAATACAAAGCTGTTGGATCAGTTTTCAGCTATTTCGATTCCATTGAGAATTTACGTTTTAATACAAAGCTGTTGGATCAGTTTTCAGCTATTTCGATTCCATTGAGAATTTACGTTTTAATACAAAGCTGTTGGATCAGTTTTCAGCTATTTCGATTCCATTGAGAATTTACGTTTTAATACAAAGCTGTTGGATCAGTTTTCAGCTATTTCGATTCCATTGAGAATTTACGTTTTAATACAAAGCTGTTGGATCAGTTTTCAGCTATTTCGATTCCATTGAGAATTTACGTTTTAATACAAAGCTGTTGGATCAGTTTCCAGCTATTTCGATTCCATTGAGAATTTACGTTTTAATACAAAGCTGTTGGATCAGTTTCCAGCTATTTCGATTCCATTGAGAATTTACGTTTTAATACAAAGCTGTTGGATCAGTTTCCAGCTATTTCAATTCCATTGAGAATTTACGTTTTCGCTATTTTCTAACCGTCTTAAATCTTAAGCTTCCCTTGTTGGCAGATGTATTTCAGAAAATAGTGGAACAAGGTATGTGGAAGGGGAGCATGAAATATAAAGACAGGACCATGAAAAGAGAACACTTCGGCTAAGAGCCTTCCTAAGCAGACGGGATAACATGAGGAAACATCAAGAAATAGAAGATGGTTCAAAAACTTAAGTGTTGGGCGTTCTCTTTTAATTTGTAGATAATAGTGATATTGTTATAACGGTGATGTTTTTAGTCTGGTAGAGATGAAATTATTATAACATTTATGGATCACTACTGTATTATTCGTTTTGAAATATGTACCATATTTTTGGTCTTTCGATAGTTTAAACGCAAGTCAAAAAAAAATTAAATCATATCAAATGCAAATAATTAAAACATCAGCTTGAAAATAATACAAGTTTGCTTCGTGGCTGATTGAGAAAATAAATAGACCGATGATATAAAAACATATCGTCTTTTTGACCACAAGGAACAACCTTGGGACGCTTGACGGCTTTGACAACGTGGAACAACCTCGGGACACTTGACGGCTTTGACAACGTGGAACAACCTCGGGACACTTGACGGCTTTGACAACGTGGAACAACCTCGGGACGCTTGACGGCTTTGACAACGTGGAACTACCTCGGGACACTTGACGGCTTTGACAACGTGGAACAACCTCGGGACACTTGACGGCTTTGACAACGTGGAACAACCTCGGGGCACTTGACGGCTTTGATTAGGTGAAGCTATTGATGAGCTTATTAAGAATTCCAAATAATAACAGCGTTCTCTCCATCGTTCCAATGTTGTCCTATATGTCAGCGATTGATCACTACGAGATGCTAATCGCACCGTCAAATTGGGGAACTGCACTTAAACAAGGCGGATCTTGCTTGGTTAAACAAATAACACCAACAGCAGCTTTGGTCACGAGGTGTTTTCCACCCATCCAATAAATCACTGTATCATTCATATTTTAATTCTGTGTTATATAGGCAATCATCATCTTCGGTGATCCTCGAATACAGAAATCATTATTTCGACTGGAGCCTCCGGGGTACCAGTCAGTTATTTCCATCGTCTTTTCCAAACAAAATCATGTATGTGTTTTTTAAACGATTTTTAAAACATAATTATCGATTCAAGACAAAGATTGCGATACGCCCGCTTGATAGCTTAATTGAAGATGTTTAACAAATGAATGCTTTTAACATACAACAAAATACATTTTGAATACACATGTTCTGAATTCGTTTTCTCTTAAAAAAAAAAAAATGATTTCCAGTGACAGCACACACTGATGACGATCTTAATAAGACTTTTTAAGATGCTCGTAAACCAATCGATAAGATGAATGGCAGGTTTTCATCTTTCAATTAATTTCACAGGAAATGATAGGCTATAAAGACAACCAGTAGAATAAACACAAAATCGAATAGGTCTGTTTCTGAAGTATCGAATACAAAACGCCGAAAAGAAATGTTAACTCCCTTTCTGCACTAAACAAATTTTGACTCGGTTAATATGTTCCAGTAATCAAAGTCCTCAGCTGTCACTAGACAGGGAAAACAATTTTGAATTCAAATAAATTAAAAACGCACAAGAGTTGATTTTGGGCCTGGAATTCACAAGATATTACCCGATGACAAATAACGTCATCAAAACTCAATCCGTTATCCATTTTTTATCCACGTCTTTAGAGGTGAAACGTTTCAATAAATGATAAATTTGAATGAAAAATTCGTTCGATGAATCCTTCCTTTCTTACCCATCTACTTTATATATTCCCAGTGATACTCTTGATTTTATCTTCTTCTTGGTCGTCAGCAGGTTATTCGCCATCGGATTCGCCAGCAACGTCTTTAACATTCTGGTCTTTGCAAAACTCGGATTCCAAGATACCGTTAATATCAGCATCCTGGCCCTGACCGTAGCCGATCTGGGATCTTTGCTTACATTGCAGTGGAGAAACATCTGCTATTTCCCGCAGTTTTTAGCAGCAGATTTGCCTTTCATTCCGAGCGAGGTTGAGAACGCGACGGCGGGCTGGCTACGGATTTGTTTCGTGAGGATGGCCGCCATGATCACTGCTTACGTCCCATTAGAAAGGTGCCTCTGCATTACGCTACAACTGAAGGTCAAGGTCGTTCTTACGCCAAAGCGGGTCGCCTGCATTCTTCTCGGGATCGTTCTCCTCATGGTCATCAGCGTCATTCCAATATTTCTGGATACTCAGTTTGTCTTTAAGTTCTATCTATTATGGAACAGAACCGCTCTTGGTTCCGTTTACTCAGACGACAAGGGAAAGACCGAGTACACGATGTTGGCATTCAGCACGTTCTACAGTTTGTTGACATTCATCGCCATCATAATTTTAACGGCGGTTCTCGTCCGTCAACTAAAGATCAATTCAAAATGGCGTCTGACGTCCGCCACCTCCAGTAAGTCACCGGCTATGTCCACGAGCTACCGGAAAGTCTCGAAGATAATGATTTTCATTTTGGTGACCTTCGTCGCCTGCTATTTCCCGGGAACGGTCTCGTTCCTGTGTGCATTGATCAACCCTGACTTCCTCCCCAACGGCCCGTATTATGGAGTGCTGAAAATCATCGTGCTGGCCAGTACTGTGTTAGAAACCGACAGCGCTACTGCCAACATCGCTATTTACCTCAAAATGAGCTCCAAGTTCAGGAATCAGTTATTTAGCTTGATTTTTTGTGGGACCAGATCCGAAAATAAACAAGTCTCAGAATGCTCATCTTAAGATATTAGTTAATCCTCAGGCGCACCTCCATTTCTAATTCCGTTTGCTTGTATTAAACGATTAACTTTATTTATTTTTCTTTTTAGTTATACAAAAGTAGTACGCATAACATAGGGACTTACTTGAATGTGTTTTTTTTTTATAAGGCTTACAAAACACGGGCTTCTTTACGCATAAGCCATTTATTTATCTTGACATTTTATAGATAGCTATTATTTTGATTGAGTAATTTTTTTTACTTGGTTTTTTAAAATATTATTTTGTATATTTTAAATTATAAGTCATGTATTTTTTTTTAAATTGAGTTTTTTCATGCCATTTTGATTACTAGTAGTATTATAATATACTATTTCAACACCATCTAAACAGAGTTATCACAAATGTGTGCACATTTTCTAAGGAACGGGGTCTTTTCAAGATTATGGTAGGTGTAGATGGAGTTTGCTTTTATTTTATTTTTCTGGACGGAGTCTCTTTAGTTTAATTGCCGCCATAACGGTTCCTGGCGTCGCGCCTGACTGCATCCACCGACACTCATCCCCCCCATTCCGAAGCTCATCCTGCGGTCGGCGGTGCTTTCATTTGACGCGCCGGGTTTCATGAGCCCCGTACGTCACCATCGGGGTAGAACGGAAGCCATGAAGCTCTAAGGCGGTGCCGCCATTAACGGCGCGTCATTAATTCCTCGGTCAGTTCTATAAAACTGCAACTGCATGGGCAGACGACAAGCCGGGGGCCTCCGTGGTGTGCAATAAAGCTTCCGGTGCACAAGGGGTGAGCGCGTTGTTTATTATGTCTCATTCTGTGGAAGATAGTTCATTTTTCTGCGCTTGAGATCAAAGGTTCCCTACCTGGTTTAGACAGGTCCCAATGTTCACGTTTATTCAAATTTCTATCGAAAAATAACATGACGGAAAAAAAAAAACTATTCATTTTCGGAGAGAAAAGAGCACATAGATTGTTCCGCTTTCATATCATGTGTGTTTATAATGGTTTGGCTTAGTAAACATGGATTGGATGACGATACAGTAAATTGAAGCGAAAGAAATTATTCATATTCAAATTTTTAAAAATGTGTTTTAAATATATATTATTGGGTCTTTTTAAATGAGTCCTACTCAACTTACTGGCATTGAGTTTAGAAACAACAAAAATAAATTTTGAACCAACCCAAATAAAGAAAACTTGGCGGGGTCCTTGGGCAAGCTACTCTGCTTTACACAAATTTGGACACACCTTCTTAAATCAGTGGGAATAATAGATTTAGTCTTAGGTTAAAACATAAATAACAAGCATATTATGACCTCACCAATCCTGCTGTGTGTGTCTCAAATGATTTTTTTTTTTTAAAGGAATTTTGGATGAAATTTTTTACTAAATAATTATTACAGACTCTTGTCACCTTAATTGGCAGACACGTACAAAAATGTGTGCTTGTTTTTCGTCTATCCAAACTGACAGCTCTGTACAATCTAAGCCCTGCACCATGTGTCAGGATGGAAATCTCAAGCCAGCTACACAAATACTGATGTAAACACTAACATGAACACAAACACACACGGAAAATCCTACGGCTGAGCTTAAGATGCCGCTCTAATAAAGTTAACCTTGTTGCTATTGTGCAAGAAATAAGGGCCGCCATATTACTTATTTTTAAACCAGTGTCCCAGTTAGGGTAAGTGCCGCCCGAAGCGGGCCAATAACCCCTCCTTCCAATGAATGACTTTGCAGTTGGCCAAACATGCCGCATCTCAATATAAAGGAAAAATGTCCCCATGAGGCGGACCGCATACTCCGACCACCTTTCCCAGGCTATGCCAGGGCTTTTAACCTTTCCAGAATTTTATTTTTGTTTGTGGGTTGTTCTTTTTATCATTCTTACAAAACAAACTCTCGGAGTATCTGCGTGACACTACCGTGTACACGCACCCCGCTATGTCTGCCATCAACGACAGTCACTGGTCATTCATGGATGCTCTTCGTAGCACACACCAATGCACGCTATAATGTCTTCCATCAACGACATTCACTGGTCGTTCATGCATGCTCTAAGTCTAAGACAGCTCAACAAAAATCGTGAGAATAGAAAGAGTGATACAAGGATACACTAATCCACTTGGTACAATGGCTACAACATACAGCTCCAAGTGCACCGTCGTTATAGAGATGGAGAGATGTTGACTTGACCAATCAGGCTATTCGTCATGTGCAGAGTGTACGTGGCAACCTGAGCAGAGAGGGTGCTTGTGTGCGTAATGTGTCATTTCTTCTTCTTCTAGAGATTAAAAATTAAGGGCCCGCGATCAATTTAATGATCACTCTTGCTCCTATGTATGCATGAGGGATTCGCAATATTTTTGTGCCTGATTTTGAAGTGGAAAGCTCACTGGTTGCAAGGGCTACGAAGTGAGGGTATAATAACAGGAACTGGGGGTTGGAAGGCCTGAGGCAATAGACACTAATGTGCCAAGGTTTGTCGCTTAATCTGTTCCTTTTGGAAGCTTGTTCCAGTCCCTGATAGTCTTTGTTGTTTAAGAAATCCAGAAAAAAAACAATTTTAAACTCTATGCAGGTCTGGCATAATTTTTAAATTGTAGTTTGCAAACGATTTTGCTCACAAAAAAAATTTATTGAAGTCTCCCTGCTTAGTGATTTTGTCAGAATGTTTTTTATATTGAAATTATTGTACAGATTGCATGTCAGCAGTGTTGCTAATTGATATCCTATAGTATAACCCAAGCTGGCAACCAAATAATACAAAATATGTAGTCAATAAATGAATTATGAATGTATTTTTCACATTTTTTCGATAATAATTAAAAGGCATACAAGAATAAGTTTGAAAATACTGGCCATGACTTTGTCTAACTGCCGTACTGGCCATGACGTTGTCTAACTGCCGTACTGGCCATGACGTTGTCTAACTGCCGTACTGGTCATGACGTTGTCTAACTGCCGTGCTGGCCATGACTTTGTCTAACTGCCGTACTGCTCATGACTTTGTCTAACTGCCGTACTGCTCATGACTTTGTCCAACTGCCGTACTGCTCATGACTTTGTCCAACTGCCGTACTGCTCATGACTTTGTCCAACTGCCGTACTGCTCATGACTTTGTCCAACTGCCGTACTGCTCATGACTTTGTCTAACTGCCGTACTGCTCATGACTTGTTTTCTTTTTTTAAATCTGAAACGTATAACAGACCTAAATGACAACTTTATTCATACACGCGTGTTATATAAATATTTTCCCACTACATGTGAGAAAGGTTGGTTTAGAGTTTCTTTCAAATGTGTTTCCATTGGGGGGGGGGGGGGGGGGGGGGGAAGAGAATTTCTAAAATCACAATAGAAATACTCAGGTCAAAAATGTAGCTTGTCAGACAGAGAAAGAAAATTTGCCGCGAGTCCAAATTAAGAACCAGATGAAAGCGTAACAATATTAATAGCAGTTCTAAGCATTAACTTGGGCTGCCAAAATTCTTGAACCGACTTCACCAATGCTAACGAATTTCCCAACAACGAACCATCTTTCAAGGCGCACAACTCTGTTCGGCGGCGTCACTCGACGTTTCGCGGCGTAAAACGTCATTGACAAAGTTTAAGGGGGGAAGGGGGGGGGAGGGGGGATGGTGGTGCTCTATTTTTGTTTGCTTCCCTTGCGGGGCTTTCTTAACTAATAAGTACGCATGCTCAACCCAGACTTCCGTCGCATTATTCACGTCATCGCCTTGTTTCCTTGATTTATGTCCTACAAAAGTCTAACTGCTATGAAAACTTGGAACTCACGCGTATGTTAAAAGACCAAGATTTTTTTTTTTTAAAGCTGTTGTTCATTGTTTAGAAACTGATGACAATGACCATATTGCTTTTTGAAGGAAATACATAAATAATGATAGCTTTCGCAGGCCATTTTATCTGTTACCGAAGTATAATATGCAAGGGAGGTGAAATTTTGATGTATGATTGTAACTGATTTTTTTTTTCAAATGTTTTAACTTTATTGTTAAGATATAACTTACAAATTAGTGTGGCTTTTATAATGTCACAGAAATTCCAGCCAAATACGTTCTATTTATTTCGTGAACGCTTAAAGCGAGGCTTGCTTTCTGAAATATAAATATATTCTGTGCAAATCAAACAGTCAGGCTAAACCTTAAAAAGTGTGTAACCATTGAAAAGTGTGTGTAACCATTGAAAATAGTGTGTAACCATTGAAAAGGGTGTGTAACCATTCAAAAGAGTGTGTAACCATTGAAAAGCGTGTCTAACCATTGAAAAGAGTGTCTAACCATTGAAAAGAGTGTCTAACCATTGAAAAGAGTGTGTAACCATTGAAAGGGGTGTGTAACCATTGAAAAGAGTGTGTAACCATTGAAAGGGGTGTGTAACCATTGAAAGGGCTGTGTAACCATTGAAAAAAGAGTGTCTAACCATTGAAAAGAGTGTCTCACCATTGAAAAGAGTGTGTAACCATTGAAAAGAGTGTCTAACCATTGAAAAGAGTGTCTAACCATTGAAAAGAGTGTGTAACCATTGAAAGGGGTGTGTAACCATTGAAAAGAGTGTGTAACCATTGAAAAGCGTGTCTAACCATTGAAAAGAGTGTCTAACCATTGAAAAGAGTTTGTAACCATTGAAAGGGGTGTGTAACCATTGAAAAGAGTGTGTAACCATTGAAAAGCGTGTCTAACCATTGAAAAGAGTGTCTAACCATTGAAAAGAGTGTCTAACCATTGAATAGAGTGTCTCACCATTGAAAAGAGTGTCTAACCATTGAAAAGAGTGTGTAACCATTGAAAGGGGTGTGTAACCATTGAAAAGAGTGTGTAACCATTGAAAAGAGTGTCTAACCATTGAAAAGAGTGTCTGACCATTGAAAAGAGTGTGTAACCATTGAAAGGGGTGTGTAACCATTGAAAGGGGTGTGTAACCATTGAAAAGAGTGTGTAACCATTGAAAAGAGTGTCTAACCATTGAAAAGAGTGTCTAACCATTGAA